GGCTGACTTCGGATTTGTAAAATTAGCCACGTTTGTATATGTATAATTCACCAGAATATACAAATACATATGTATAATATACAATTATCTAACCGATATACATATACAGTTCACCTCTCTCCCACTCTCTATCCTCTCTCGCTCGCCTCTCTCCCCCCTCTCCCAATCTCGCTTGCCATATATACAAATGCATATGTATAATATACAATTATCTAACCGATATACATATACAGTTCACCTCTCTCCCACTCTCTATCCTCTCTCGCTCGCCTCTCTCCTTCCTCTCCCAATCTCGCTCGCCTCTCTCCTCCCTCTCCCAATCCCTCTCTCCTCCCTCTCCCAATCTCGCTTGTCATATATACAAATACATATGTATAATATACAATTATCTAACCGATATACATGTACAATTCACCTCTCTCCCACTCTTTGCCCTCTCTTGCTCGCCTCTCTCCTCTCTCTCTCTCCCAATCTCGCTCGCCTATCTCCTCCCTAGGACATGTAGCTACGAATTGTAATTATCAAACTATAGCAATGGAGAGTAATTAGACAATTTTTGAGTGGGTATATGTAAAAGTTCCTCTAAAAATATATCTCCATAATTTATGTGTATATCACATTAAATTAAAAAATAATGACAATTACCAATTAGTTGATCATTGAGATCGAATATACGAATCATCACTGACTGTGTTTCCATTTAGCCTCACTTTTTGAACTATACAAATCAAATTAGTCCTTATAATATGATGAATGTCTATGTTATGATTTTCTCTATTCAAAAAAATGATAAAGCATAACCATTTGAAGGAACAAAAGTAGTTTGGTGTTATATTATTGATTCTATTCATTCTAAGAGAATTTGGATCTATTTCTGTTTTTTGAGCTGCAATTACACCTATAGCTTCTCAGTAGTTTGACACTTTCACATGCAAAATAAAGGAGAAATCGTACTTCAATATGATAGTGCCCAAGTCAGCTTGCACACACCCCAGATCCTTTATTGACTAGTCTTTTTCTTCTTCTTTTTTAGGAGGGGACTTTGTATTCGTATTCTCCTTTTTTAGTATCGACACAAAATTTGCAAGAACGAACTTGAACATGAAATTCTAAAATAGGATGGTGAATATTGGGATCTTGAGATAATACATTGATGACCCATTGAAGGTGAATAAAGGTTGAAGCCTAAGGTAAATTCTTAAAATTAATAACAAGTTGAATTGGTATTAGTTTAAGACTTGTTTAGCAATTTTAACTTTAATTAGGAAAGTGTTTTTTCACTTACGCCCTAACACAAAAGGCGTATGCCCAAAATGATGGGGCTTACACCTCACAAACCGCCCTTGTGTGTTTTTACTATGCACCTCCCCGTCCCCTTAGGCTCAGCCCGAGACTCGCTCCAAAAACGTCTTTTAGAATTGTACTTTTAATTGTGAACTTTGTAGACATGGATGGCCCAAGGGAGAAATAGGAAGCTAGTAAAACGTTTGTTTTGGACCCCAAAATATTGAGGTCCCAAAAAATTTTAATGATTAATTTTATCATTTTATATGTATCTAAAATAATATTGAAGATCGTAAAAAATCAAAATTTATATACATATAAAAAAAAGGGTAAAACTATCTATATTTTATAAAATATTTTAAAATTTGTATTAAATAATTCATATATTCAAATTAATAAATAAAGTTTTTACAATAACATCCAAGTTACACTTTGTTTGGTTTGGAAACACATTTTATGAATTGAGTCTAATTATTCCGTTAAACTTGTAAATTTCTATAATCAACACTAGGTGCATATTTATAAGATATATATGATGATTGATCTCTACTAAGTTTCTTGGATCATTGACATTTACTTGAACTGGATTGACAGACAGAGCACCCATTTAAAATGCAGCATAACCTATAGCCTCTTATTTTATCTGGTAATGGTAAGAGCGTCATTAAAATGTAGCATAACCTATAGCCTCTTATTTTATCTGGTAATGGTAAGGGCGTCATTCCAAAATTATTCGAGAACGGATAAAAAAAATACAAGTTCATAGCTATTAGAAAACACCAAAAAACCTTCTAAAGGTGGCGATTCATGTGATTGGTAATGGTTTCGGATGAAAAACAGACGTCTCGATCACTTGTTTCCAACTTGAACAATTCATCCAACAATGTTGCAAATAAGTAGGCTCTAGCTTCAAAAAGATGACAGAAAGTAAATGTGAAATCAAGGATCAAGAATGGATAGAAGATTTGTTGAAATCAAGAACAGATAGAACCACAGTCTACAATCAAGAATTGGAAAATGGAATTTTTTGAAGAAAAAAAAGTTAAACTATTTTACCAGAAAACTATATTTTGACTAAAAAGTTCGGTAAATAGATTTTTTTTAAAAAAACAAAAGTGGCAAGGGAAGCGCTATATATATATATATATATATATTAGTGCAGAGGCTCAATATTTGTTTATAAATAATTTTTAATTAATGAAATGAAATTAAATTTGAATAAGTAATATATATTTATATGGTAGATTGGTAGTAAACGTTCATATTACTATAAAATGAATACCCGATAAATATTATTAACTTCGATAATTTTAAGTAATTTTGATTAAATAATTTTAATTTTTTTAAATATAAAATAAGTTATATGTATTTGTATGATAGTAAATGATCTCGTTCTTCTTTCTCAAAAAAATTATGTGAGTACCCTATATTTTCTAAAAAAATTAAAGAGCAATATCAAAAATTGTATATTTTCTTTTATTCAGTTAAAAAATTAATCAACATACTTTTCACCAATATACCAATCCTAATGGCTCCTCAACACTTGGTTATTGTACCACATAGGCAACCATGAGACCAGCTAGAATGTTGATCCTAGTCAACCCCATCGTGTGATCGTGGTACCACATAGTACCAGGATGTTGATAATTATGATAATGATACTTTTTTAATGTCCATTTTGGTCCATGATGTTTGAAATTCTTAGTGAACCATGCCTCAGAGTGTCCCCCATGTAAACTGAAGATTTTGATTTAAAGTTACCAATGATGGTCACTCAACTATACATTCTGTTATACAACTTTCAATTTTAATTCAAAAGTCACTCAACTATTCACCTTTTTTTAGAAAGTCACTCAACTTTGAATTTTATCTGAAAAATCATTCAACTATCCGCTCTTCTCTTAGAAAGTCATTCAACTTATTAAATTGATATTTTAATTAAGATTTGTTGATAAAAATTTTTTATTTAAAAACCAATTTTTTAAAAAATAAAAAAATATATCCATTTAAACCATTTAATGACCCAACCCCCTAAAAATATACTAATATTAACCCATTTTATCGATTCCCTTCTCCTTCTCCTGTGCATTTAATTTTTGGTTCTTAATACAGATGCATCCTGCAAAGGAAAATGAAAATATGAAAATCATCAAATATTTCAAACTTTCTAAGAGAAGAGTGCATACTTGAGAGAGCAAACAAGATATTAACTCAATAATCTATTATACTTAAATCGGTTATTAAATTGCAATGTTATAAATTCATTGGTCGAGAAATTTGTGTAAAATCATGAAAGAGAGAATATAGAAGATCTCATATTTCTTAAAGGGAAAAAGCATAGATTCCTCTCCGAACTTGTCCCGAAAAGTCAGTTAAACGCTTAAATTATCATGGTGACCTATTACACACCTTAACTATACTCAAAAGTGAATTTATTACCACCCTGAGACGCGTAACACCACTCTTACATTATGTGGTGTATTACACTTGCTGCCACATCAGCGCTACGTCAGCGTCATGTCATAAATTATAAATTTTTGTTTTTTTCTTTATTAATTAACTTTTCTTTTGTTAACTATATTTTACTCTAACTAATCCCTAATTAATTATTTTAATTCTCTAATAATTATATATTCTTCATCACTAATCCCACCCATTTTCAATTCTCATTTCATCAGAAAATCATATCTATCCATCCCCACCTTCACTATTGATTTTGTTCTTCACCACCACTATATCATTTTTAATTCTTCTTCGTCTTTGTCACCCAACACCAAATATCACCACCACCATTATCAATATACATTTTTTCTTCTTTACCACCTTCAATTACCTCTTTTAATGTTTGTCACCCGCCACCCATCACCACCAAACCCATAAAGTTGCTATTACCACCAAAACGAAAAATTGATTAACAATCAAAAATTCTTTAACAAAGTCAATAAAAATGAAAAAGATAGAAACAATCAATCAAATTTTCTCTAGATAAAATACAATTATTCACTAATAAATCTATGGGAATTAACCTAATTGCGAATCAAAAAACAAAATTGTGCTTTAAGATTGTGATAAAAAACAAAAAAGTGTGATGAAAATAAAGAATGAAGAAGAGGAGGACAATGGGTGGGGTTTGAAGAAGAAGAGGTGTGGGGGCTGGGGGTGGAAAATATGATTCTAACTTTTTTTAAAAAAACTTTAATTTCAAAATGGCGCACCTATTTTTTATTTTTGTTTTATTTTTTTGCCACGTCAATTTTAGGGGGTAAGAAAATTCATATTTGAATAGTATAGGTGTGTAATAGGTCACTATGATAGTTTAAGCGTGTAATTGACTTTTCGGGACAAGTTTAAGGGGGAATTTATGCTTTTTCCCTTTCTTAAATTAAGATTGTATAAAAGGAAATTAATTTGTACGTTTAATGGTTTTCTATTTTTGATAAAGAAAATATGGTATTACTACTACTTATTATAAATTATAAATTAGGGTTAATTATAATTTATAATAATTCATAAATAAATAAGGTAATATATGTAATAAATAAATAAGGTATCCGAATTGGTTTAGGTTCAGTTTCTTCTTCCTTTCTGAATCAAATTAGTCTTCTTCTTCCTTTTCGAATCGAATTAAGATTGGAATTTTGGCTCTATAAAAGTAGTGGTTGCAGATTCATCACAATTCACAAACATAAGTTGCAGTTACCGTTCAATACACATTCATGGCGGCGGCGGCATCAAGTAAAGTTCCATTGTTAATGCTTGCAGAGAAGGAGGAGAATGGAGAAATTCGCGAGTTTTTTGATTTATCAAGCGGTATTACACACTCCATGAATTTACCTGAATTAGCAGGGAAGTGCTGTTTGGGTGTGGGATTTCCAGGTTGGGTTTTCACGTCTGATAAACAAGGAAATATGAATTTATTTCATATTTTCACAGGGACTCTAATCAACCTCCCACACATGTCTATGTTAGAAGGTTATGATTCTGAAGAGGAAATTGATTGTACTGATTATGTTGAAAAAGCAGTAATTTCTGCTGATCCTCTATCGTCACCAACAACAGACTATGTTTTGGGCCTAATTCAAGGTTCTCCTGCCACTTTTGCTTTCTGGAAGCCAGGAGACACTTTTTAAACTAGTCTCGGGTCAACAATACCCGATTGTGCCTATTCTGATATCACTTGGTATAATGGTAACTTTTATGGACCTAATTTTATAGGCGACATTGTCATCTTCAGTTTTCATCAACACGATGATTGTGGTGGTGCAAGAGTTGTTAAAGGTATACCTATAGACTTAATTGGCTGTTGTCAGCTCTACATTGTCTATTCAATGGGTGAACTATTAGTTATTCATAGAGACGGAACTATTAGTGATGAGGGCCAAGATAGTGATCAATATGGAGCTAAAACATTCCACGTGTACAAGATTAATGATTATAATTATGAAGAGATTAAAGATTTGGGTGATAGGGCATTGTTCGTTGGCAAAAGTGCTACTTTGGCTATGGCTATTGAAGAAGATGATCAAGGTTCTGGATACAAAAGGAATCATATTTATTTCACCGATGATTGTGTCGATAGCTATTTTAATCTTGAACAAGGTGGTGGCAAGGATATGGGCGTTTACAATATGGTTGATGGAACCATTGTGCCCCATTACACTGGTCAATCTTACCACAAAGTCACTCCACCACTTTGGGTTTAGTTTGTTTATTTAAGTTATGCTTTGTCTATAATTCCTAGCTTTCATTATATTTGTTTTTGCTGTTACTGGAAGTCTCTTTTTCTTTTCTTTTTTTAAGATTTAAGTTTCTTAATAAATTCCTTAGCTTTAATTAACTTTCTTCTGCTTTCTCTTTTAATTTTGTCAATCAATGCTTGTAGATATGTTTTGTCTGCTCTTCATGAACTATCGATAAAGAGCTACTTATAAAGAAACAATTGAAGGGAAAGATTAAAAAAATTTAAACCTGACAGTACAAAATATGATTAATTGGTGTGGCTGGCCATTTTTAACTGTAAGTAGTTGCTATTGTAACGTATTGTTAAATTTATTGTTATGATGAGATTGCCATTTTATGTGATGATTGATTGGATGTTATCGCGTGTTATTCTCTTCTTCTTCTTATCTTGGTCTTATGTATTAACAAAATTGATATAATTTCTTCAAACCTCACAAATCATTCTTGGGAATTTGGACAGTTTTGATCAGATTTCTTTGCAACTGGATGCATAAGGTAAGCCTTATTCACATGTTCCTAGGGGTGTGCAAAAACCGATTTAACCAATAAATCGAATCGAAATAAACACTATTGGTTTATTGATATTGGGTTATTGGGCTAACGGTTTTTAAACGGTTTTGCAAAAAAATTTATTGGGTTATTGGTTCGGTTTCTGGTTTTATAATTTTTGTTAATGGTTAAACCGATAACCCAATAAGACTATACTAAATTTACTAGTCTTATTGTTAATGGTTAAACGATTGTTACTTTCACACTTTTTCCTTTGAATGTGTCTAGTGTCTAAACTTGCAAGAAAAATGATTGTTACTTTTATGATTATTACTTTCATGCCAAATGCTGGAAAGATCATATGGTTTATTTGAAAATTTTCTTATCGTGTATATAATATATATGAGTATTTTCTTATTGGTTAAACCGAAAACCGAACCATTAAGTACCATAAACCGATTAACCAAAAACCGATAAGAAATATGTTATTGGTTTGGTTATCGATTTGATGTATTTACAAACCAAAAACCGATAAACCGAACCAATAACACCTAAAACTGAACCGAACCGACCGATGCGCATGTTCCGCGTTATGCATCACCATACATACAAATGGATCGACTAGCTCCAAAAAAGTCTTTTAGAACTGTACTTTTTATAGTGAACAATTCTTATTTGTAGGTCCAAAAGAAAAATAGGAAGCTATCATTTAATTTTGAGAAAATGGTCTAAAACCCTTTCAACCTATACTCGAAATTCCAACTACACACTCTAACTTCACGGGTATCCTATTACTCCCTGAACGTCATATTTCTCTATTTTCTACACACTTAAACGCTGACCTGTCATAGGAGGTGAGAACACCTCCTCTAGGCGCGTTAGAAGGTGAGAACACCTTAAATTTTGACGAAAATTTTCTTTTTCTCCAACGGTCATCTTCCCCACCATTAAATAAACCATTGTTTCTTCTTCCCCACCATTAACCCTTGTTCCTTTTATTAAAAAAATCACAATTTTCTCTCAAAAATAAGTAGGGTTTAGTTGTTTATGTTCATTTCTACTTCAAATTTTGAATTTAGGGTTTGTAATCTACTCTAATTTCTTATTTAGGTCTCTAATTTGAATTTTGAATTTTCTCAAAATTCATCAAAAATGGCAAATGAAAACTTGAATAAGCTTTGTACGGATGAATCAGACCCAATGTTGCTCTTAATTTCACGAATCAACAGAAACTCTAATGGATAAAGCAAAAACTCGAAATAAGGGATAAAGAACTAATGTTTTACTAAATCAGTTGATAAACTACGAAATCAAGTTGAAAATACACAGCAAAATCCTTCGATCATCAACAGAAATGCATATGCAAATGGAGAAGGAGATGAAAAGGAGAAAGGATATTTTTTTGGGTCTTTTACGTTTTAGGAAGGAAATGGGGGAAAAGCAGGAATTGGGAGTTGAAGAAGTTGGGGACCCGACGCGTGCAATCACGTTGGAATATTTGTTTGGTTTATGTGTTAAGGTCAGCGTTTAAGTGGGTAGACAATAGAGAAATATGAAGTTTAGGGGGTAATAGGATACCCGTGAAGTTGGAGTGTGTAGTTGAGATTTCGGATATAGGTTGGAGGGGTTTTAGACCATTTTTTCTTTTATTTTTATCTAAAATAATATTGAAGATAGTAAAAAAGATCAAAATTTATATAGATATAAGAAAAGGAATAACTATCTATATTTGATAAAATATTTTAAAACTTTGAATTAAATAATTCATATTAATAAATAAAGTTTTTACAATAACATCCAAGTTACACTTTGTTTGGTTTGGCAAACACATTTTATGAATTGAGTTTAATTATTCTCGTTAAGCTTGGAAATTTCTATAAATCCACTCTAGGTGTATAGTTATAAGACACGAATGATGATTACCAAGTTTCTTGGATCATTGGCATTTATCTGAACTAGAATGTTTAAAACTGTGAAACTGCGACATTTTATGAATTAGGTCCAATTATTCTCGTTAAGCTTGTAAATTTCTATAATCGACTCTAGGTGCATAGTTATAAGACATGTATCATGATTACCAAGTTTCTTGGATCATTGGAATTTACCTGAACTAGAATGTTTAGAACTGTGAAACTGTGGTCGGTTGAATTGAATGCTACATATTTGTTGATACGTTGAAAAAGGTACTATTGAAATAAGGTATACCTTGAAGGATAACCTCGTTATTGTAACCTGATATTCCTAAGTGATTACCTAATGGGATTTCATTTGTTTACTATAATTTTATGTTGTGCTGAAATTTTGCAAATCAAACTATTTTTACCTACCCCTAGCAGAAAAAATCGAATCTTATTAATTTGATTTGGTCACAAATGGTTTGGTTTGATATTTGGAAATTCAAAACTAACTTAGTCATGTACACCCCTATTATGCTAAAGAAAGAAATTTTGTAAACTAAACTCTTCTTCCCTACCCCTAGTCGAGAAAAAAGGAGTTGGATATTTAATTAATGCATAGAACCCACAGTTACTTTAATCTTGTAAGAACTTGTAAGATTTTGAAACTGTGAGGACTCATTCTTGATTTGATTGAATGATAGGAAATTCTTTTTTCTATGGTAAATTATGAGTTGTTCTGATCTTTGAGTTAATCCTCTCTAATTCACAGCAATGTTGCAAGAGTCACACTTTCCAACCAGTTTGCTGATTCATTTAGGATCATAATAGCTTATAAATTATTTAAAATGATGCTTATATATATGTTTTGGAGTTTATGCTACATCTTTATCAGTATAATGACCATTCTTCATATTGTGCTCCCTCTTTTGTAGATGTGTTATGTCTTGTTTGGATGATTATTACTCATTATGTTATATACCATTGTTACTTTAAATATCATGTCTGTTCTAATTGTTACATAAATTTTATTGTAACGTATTATTAAATTTAAGTTCTAAACATGTCTTTATTCAGAAGTCTAACTACAATCATTATGTAATAAGGAAAAGACTCATCAATAATAAGAGTGGGTTCAATTTTCATTGCTTAGAATTTTATGAATTACATAACATTAATATATGCACCCACTAATATATTTGATAATTATCAAAATTAAGACAAGAAAAGGCAATTAGTTTCCCCTTTCTCTCTTTCATCATTCTAGCCTTTTTTTCCCCTATCAATTGACAAACTTTAAAGGCCTCATCATGACATTATCTTCATGATCAAGAATCTGCATTTAAGAAGAAGAAAAAAAACAAGAAATGAAATCATTATATTATTAACACGAGAATTAAAGGTTGTAGTGAGATGGATAAGAACGCTCCACTCTTAATCAGAGGTCTCAAATATAAGCTTTGAGTATGAAAAATGTTTCGATAGGAAACAATTTCCCATTTAATAGGTCTTATGTGACGAGAATCCAGATTAATCAGTGGTCCAATACGGACACAAAATACCAAATAAGAAAAAGTTGAAGAATAAGAAACACTTACATGGCAATGATATACATAGCCAGGCTCTGCTGTTGCATCAAATGGATATGATTCATTTGAATGAATGAAAGAAAATTTCACAAATATTTTTGTAACATGTCCAGGCATCATTTTGTACACATTTTTCCACCCTTTTTCATGAAGAACCACTTTAGTCCTTTTCCCATGTGAATACTTGTCAATTTTGCACTTAATTGCATCATTCAATTTCATCATACAAGCTTTGAACTCTTCAATATTCATCAATTCTATTTGTTCCAACACAACAAATAGACCTAAATGTATGTGCAATGGATGATTGTCTTCAGTTAGATTAATGATGTTCCAAATCTCACTAGTTCCTACTCTTGGCATCTCGGTCACGGGCGCCTCAAATGATTTTCCATTGATATATAGATGCGTAGGCTCATCGATATCACTAGCATACTCGTAAAAAGCAATGTACCTTGTATTCGAAGCCTGTGATATCTCTGGAGGCGTATATGTTATCAGTTTCTGCGGAATATGTCCCGTTTGAACCTCGTGATTTGGGTTGATAATGAACTTCATTACCTTACTATTTTCTTCGTTGACCGGATCGCCAGATGGATAAGGATACGCGGCATCATTGGCTAAAATCGCCGAGTTTGACTTTGACTTTGAAAAGTCAACAATCACATCAGCTATTTCGGATGGAGCTAATAGTAGGTCATGGAGCTCTACTGGACTTTCATGATAAGCTGAATCAGACGCCACGTGTATAAACGTCATGTTATTTGTGAAGAAAAATTTGAAAAACCTAGCGTTACTCGCATTGATGATCCGAAATCGATACTTCCTTCGTTTCACATTCATGTAAGGCCATGCTTTTCCATTGACTATGATCGCATCACCAAAATATTCAGGTTGCCACTGAGGATGTATAGAAGGATTGTTACCAGTAGAATTCATGTAAATCGAACCATCTGATCTAAAACCACGATCAAAAACAACCAACGGACG